ATTTAATAGAACACATCTTATAGTTTTACATATTTACTTAAACCTACCTTATAGTTTTCATTTTATTAAAACATCCTATATATTTTACAACTTATTTACTTAATCAACCTTTCATTAAGGAGTGTTTGTTTTTCCATTTGGTCCATGATTTTGTATTCCAAAAATACCCTTAACATTTTTTTTGTACAAAAAACAAAATTAACTAAATATAGCCAATAGAGTGGTTGTGCGTGTCTTATAAAGGGAAAAAATGGTATTTTCATTTTTATTTTTATTTTCTTTTGATTAAATTTATTTAAATGAACATTTGGGTCAACATTGTCATTTTTCATTGTCATCTAATGGAAGATTGATTAAATCCATTGCAAATTATAAATGGTGTTTTAGTAAAATTTTAACTATAGGGTAGATTTTAGTAAATCCATGAAATTATAAGGGATGTTTTAGTAAATGACCCTTTCTATTATTTAACTTTCGCTTAATAAATCCCGTGCATCGCACGGATCCTCGCTAGTATATATATAAAACAAGGTTGTCCACGTCACCATGTCTCTCCTTGCTCAAAACCCTTCCTAATTTTCTGTTTTTTGAATTTTTTATTTTTTAATTCCATTAAACCAATAAGGAAACAAAATAGTCTAAATTATCTCTAACAACCAATCTTTCCCATCCATGTCATTTTTTTTAAACAACCAATGAGATACTCTCCTTCCCCATAAAAAAATATCTAAACTCTATCTTTCTCTCCCTCTTGCCCACATGTTCCCAATAATCTCCTCTCGTAAAATTTCTCCTAAACTACATCCCCACTTTCTCCTAAATCATCTCCAATTCCTATTTATCTCCTAACTTATCTCTAATTTACTAGAGAGTTTCTCTCCAAATTATCTCTAATCCTTATTTATCTTCTTCCCACTTTTTATCTATATCTATCTAAAGAAAGTTTAAATTAAAAAATTTAAGAATTATTTAAACATTTTAACCAAATTATATAATAACTTTAAAATATTTATTGAAAACACAAAAATTAATTATAATAGATTTAATAATATTCATATTATTAATAATTTTGTATTTTTACAAAATTCATCATGAAATTATGTACTAACAATATAAATTTTGATTTTCTGAATTATTCAAATAATAGAAATTTAACATTAAAAAAATAAAATATTGTTCAAATATTTCAATAACTAAATATCTTAAATAATAAAATACTAAAAATATAACATAATTATATAGAAAATATTTAATATTATGTAATAAATTTAAAATGAATTAAATTCAAATAATAAAAATTTTTAAATATTTAAATAACTTCATTCATAATTTTTCGGAATTCAAAGGGGGCATTTTTTAATCCAAAGGGCATAACATTCCATTCATAATGCCCGAAAGGAACTATGAAGGTTTTTTATACCTGTCCTTCTTACTTATTTGAATTTGCCAATAACATGTCTTTAGGTCAAACTTGGAAAATATTTTTGCGTCATGCAACCTATTTATTAGGTCTTGTTTATTAGGGATAGGATATCTGATCCATCTCAAGGCTTTGTTGAGTGGTTTATAGTTAATCACTAGCCTTGGTACTACTCTTTCTATTTCAGCTATTTTTACATAAAACGATGGACAACTCTAAGGGGATTTACTTGGTCTAATTAAGCCTTTAGTTAATAATTCTTGAATCTCCCTTTTGCAGATTTCTAATAATCTACTATTCATTTGGATTGGTCTATCTTTAATAGGAATTTTTGTTTCGCTATATCCTTCCTCATAAGGAAGATCTATCATATGCCTTTTTCTGTGCTAGAATGCACTGGGAGTTTCAACACATATTTCCTTTTCTAATTTTGTTTGAAACTTTTCTATTTCTAGTTGGGCTTTTGGTTCTTTTAGGGATTTAGCCAACTGTTTTTTCTTTTATTCYTGCTTGTAATTCAGAGATAAATTTGACTTTATCTTTTAAGCTTTCTTTTAGAGTATTTATTGCTGTTATTTTTGGCTTCTGGCAGAACTTGTAAGTGACCGTTATTTTACCTATGGTGGCAATAATTCCTATAGAATCTATTTGGCAGGGAAGAATTGACAGACGAACTAGGTCCAATCCAAGCTAATAAATATTTTAGACCGGATTGGTCCAATCAATGTCTTGTTGGTCCGTCCAATCCGTCCAAATTGATTTTGGACTGGATGGGGTCCAATCCAAAATTGGTCCATTCACACCCTTACTTGCTTCCCTCTCTTCACGAGCATATCATAAGCCAAAAAGAAGTAACAATGCTGAACTAGGGATATTTTCAGAATAAAAAAAATAGGATGATACGATGCCTTCACACATTTTTCACTTGTTTTAAGAGGTCACGTGGTCATTTCCATAGGGATATACAAATTATAACTAATAGAAGTTGGAACAATAGGTGCAAAATATGGGGTTGCTATAGGTTGTGTTGGTACCATTGCCACTTCTACTTGCACCGTTTTTGATTGGTCAATACAAATTTTATGAGAATATATTTTTTCTACTACAAATGCTTTGAGTTATTAATACAATATTTGGTACCATTAGTGCTTCTTCATGAAAGGTCAAATATGATGTTTCTATAAATGCCAACACCCAATCCAATGCCTACACTTTTTTTAGTGGAAGTGGTTATTTGATGTGATGTGACAAAATGATTTCTCAAAATTTTGTATTGATAAACTCTACACCTTTCTAGTAGAAACAACAATGATACCAAATGGTGTTTTCAAACCGTCATTGACTTAGATGGTTGAACTGTTCAGCTTGGGAACCGTCCAGACAGTTGGTTTTGTTTCACCCTTAATCTGTTCCTAGGCAAAAAATCGTTGACTTGGTCAAAGAACCATTGACCCAGGTGGCTGAACCATCAACCCGGGCAACGGTTCACAGTTTAATAAGGAAGCAGGGGAGATTGAGAGATGGGGAGGGATTGAGACAAGAATGATCTCATATTTGATATCACTGAGATCCCAAAGAGAGAGAGAGAGAGAGAGAGAGAGAGAGAGAGAAAAGCAAGATTGGAGAGATCGGAGAGCCATCTCTATCGCTATTGTCATTGCGGTTGAACATTGGATCTTCTCCTCCTTTTTTCCCTCCTTTCTTTCTTTTTTTTTTTTCTTTCCCTCTTTTCTTTCTTTCTTTTTATTCCTTTCCCTTCTTCCTTCCTTTCTTTTTTTATCTTTCTTTTTCAACCAAAACCAAGGTCCACATATTCTTTTCTCATAAAAGACTAAAAGAGTTTGTCTTAATATTCTAATCTAATCAAACTATCTGAACCATTTGACATGGATAATCGAACCATTGACCCAAAAACCTTGACACAATTATAATAATACACAAACTATAATAATGTTTTAATAGTTAAGCAAAATTATAGGGGTGTATATAAGTAAACGACGAGAAAATGATGCTCACACCGTGTTCACGTCACGGCGGAGATATTCCCACTGTACAGCTGCAAATGGCTGTGACTCTGTGAAAATGGAATGAGAACGATTCCGTGTGGAATGAATCCGATTCCTCCTAAAAAGACTTAAAAAAGTAAAAAGAAATCGACTTAATTTTCGGTTATCAATAAAAAAATTGACTTATTTCCACTTTCGGTGTTTCCGCCCGTGTAGAAGGCGTAGTTATCAAGCCAGACAGCGCAATAGCCAATAAGTCGTTCAGTTCAGCAACTTCAGCCCTAATCCCAATATCGACACAACAGTTGCAGAGAGACCAAAGGAAGAGAAGCGAAGGAAGCTCTATAGATTTCTTTAATGGCGGACGGGGAGAAGCCTCTTCGGAAGATTGCGGAGGCATTTAAAGACCTCTCAGTTACTGTAAATTCCCAAACGCAAGACGTCGAGGTCGCGCCGTTCTCTCATGCCTGCTCTCTCGTTTCCCCTCTTTTTGGCTGCTTAGGGATTGCGTTCAAGTTTGCGGAGATGGATTACGTTGCTAAGGCACTAATCTCATGTGCTTTCCTCGTTTCTAAAAATTGTTTCTTACTCTTAAATTGACCAATTAACATGTTTCTGGTAGCTTTTCGATCCGTTTATCGTGTTCGATTCAATAGTTCATATACCTATTGGTGTTTCTATGGATAACAGGTTGTTGATCTAACAGAGGCGTCAAAATCAATTGACACATTACGAACTATGCTCGATCGTGACATCCAACACAACTGTGTGAGGAAGGCTGGTAGTCATTCGAGAAACCTTCTCAGAGTGAAGCGTGGTCTTGACATGGTCAGAGTACTGTTTGAGCAAATTTTAGCCACAGAGTATGTGTGGCAACTCTTTTTTCTGTCAAATTGGTGAATTTAGGATTACTTGATTGCCTAGTTTCTTATGATTATGGGGCAGGACTCTACCCACAAATAAATAAATAAATAATAAATATAAAAATAGTGAGGGGTATAAACATCCTTTACTAATAGAGAGCCACTACAAGACCCAGTACATTGCTATATTTTGCAGTTTATTCCAGGAACCAGAAGGCATACTGTGTAATGATTAATGTATTGGTTCCAAATGGATTTCTGAAGCAAGAAGTTGAATATATAAAGGCAAACGGCATTCTCAAACAGGGGAAACTCCTTTTATGTGAAGTGAGGACATGGATCTAATCCTCAAGGTTTGCTGTGGAAGAAGATGTTCTTTAAAATGCACAATAGTTCCTGTATGACCAAGAAATAGAAAAGAATACATAAAGCAGAAGGGTGTTCCCAAGGATGAGAAGCTCCCTTTATGGGTCTTGAAGGATGCATTATATATGAAGGGGGCTTAGGATTAACATGATAGGCCGCCAGTGAGGAATAAAGGGATTTGATTGGATGACTACTGGTGCTGCTTAAGTTTTAACAGCCCAATATGCTATTGAGCCTCCAAATAGAAGTTCCTAGAAGCAGGATGTGGGATGGGAATAGGGACTGGGTGGTTTCTTAAAATGGAAACCATCCTAAATGAATGCACACTGTGCCACTTAAGCAAGATACTAATTGCACATCTCTTATGCTTCTCCTATGAAATCTGGTGCTAGTTCCAGCTTGGCCAGTTAGGGGTTTCTCCTAAAGAGGAAATATTTTAGAAAACTTTTGACCTTTTTGCCAATAGGTGGTGTCTATGGAAGGAGCAAAATCCTAGAGTCTTGATCAAAATAGCTTCCCTAGGGAGAGAGTTAGGGAGACTTGACAGATCCATTTTCTTTTGGTTTATCCATTCTATCGAACTTTTATAATCTTACTTCCCCAAATTTTTGTAATTATTCATAGGTTATTATCTTCTAAGCTTACCTGTATCGTATTGATTGTAAATGTTGTATATGAGTAAGTTATACTCTTAGGACCATGTGAACTTTGTAGATGGGACTATGGTTATTTTCTTCTTTTTGATATTTATTCCAAATTTCCAATACTTATTCTTTTTGATATTTTAGTTGCCAGCAGTTTTGCTTGGCTGATTTTGTATGTAGATGATATTTTGGTTGCCAACAGAGATATGGGTTTGCTGTACCAAGCCAAAGAATTTCTAACATAGAAATTCGATATGAAGGACATGGGAGAAGTCTCCTATGTTCTAGGAATTGAGATCCAAAGAGATAATGCTTGTAAGATATTGGGTTTGTCCAAAAGGGCATATATAGAGGATCTTAGAGAGGTTGGATGGCATAGTGTGCACCAAGTGTAGTACCAACAAGGGGGTTAAACTTATTGTGGATGATAATCCTTAGACAGAATATGCAAGGGAGAACATGAGCATAGTTCCCTATGCATCGGTTGTGGGAAGATTGATGTGTGCACAAGTACGTACAAGATTGGACATTGCATTTGAAGTGGAAGTACTGGGTAGGTTCTAAAGGAATCCAGGAAGGGAATACTGGAATGCCACTAAGAAGGTGTTTAGGTATCTACAAGGAACAAAAGATTATGTTCTCATGTACAGAAGAGGGGATAGTTTGGAGCTATAGGGGTACATTGCCTTTGACTATGCTAGTTGCCCCAAGGCCCCCGACACCAGAAAGTCAACATCAAGGTATGTATTTCTATTGGCAGAGGAGCTATCATGGAAGAGTTAAAGTAGGAGTTGAAAGCATCCTTGACCATGGAAGTGGAATTCACAGTAGGCAACTTCCCGATGTCTTCCAATATTAAATCCAAACAATGGGCAGCACATGGTGTCCATGTCATATGAGGATGCTTTGCCATCAAGAACTTCCCCAATAATACAAGAAAACAATTCCAGAAATAAGAACTTAAGAACTATGACCAGTGTTGGTAAGTAAAAGGGTTGAGAAGCTAACGAGGGATTTCTTGTGGGAACTAGGGAAGGAGAAGAAGGACCATAGAGTTAAATAGGAAGTGGTGTGCAGAAGTAAGAAACATGGAGGCTTAGGTCTTGGGAACATTTTTGATGAATAATAATAAGTTTATTGATTCAGAAGCAACTTTAGAGTGAGTTCATACATCAACCCAACGAGAGGCACGAGCTGCAGCCCCTCCTTGA